CAGCCCATGGACATGAACTAGGAGATGGGGAATGTTGGAGGGTTGAGGGTGCAGGGCGAAGTGGGAAAGGGGGAAAAATTGGGAAAAGTGTAATAGCATAATCAATAAAATATACTTTAAAAATGAATAAATGAATAGATAAATGTTTATCAATCTTATGCAAGACAGACAAATAATAATTTCGTTTATCTAAATATAGATTTTGTGGACTTTATCAATCCTATTATGTTGATGTGACTAATTTGTACTGTCTGCACTGTTACTTTATAAATCAAAAACATTCAAACTTAGATTATTCAAGTAAGATTCTATTTATTTGCAACCCAAGGAAAGCACCCAACTTTTTAAAAAGTTAATTTAGGAGAATAATGATCAAAAATACTTAAAATTCAAATAAATTTCAAGTGAGCCCTATGGTCTTGAGAAATGTTAAAAGTGTAAGCTAGAAGCTGGATTTTAGAGACTTAATAAAAATAAGAAGGTAAATTCTAAAATTAATATTTTATGTTAATTACATGTTGAAATGGTAATATTCAGGATATATCAGGTTAAAAATATATTAAAGTTAATATTTCTTCCTTTGTACTAATTTAAATGTAGCCACTAGAATGCCTAAAATATATAAGTGGCTCACATTTGTGTTTCACATTCTATTTCTATTGCACAGTGGTCTAGAGACTATCAAGTAAGGGGTGTAATTTCAGCAATGACAGCAGAGCAGAATAAATCAACAGAATACAGTTGGATCTCAAAAATTAGATGATTAATAAAAGATGACAAATTTGTAAAGAAAGAATTAAAAATTGTAAGGCAACCTGTAGTATAACCTGTGGTAAATTTACACATGGGAAAAATATAACACAGCAGAAGGCAATAAGATGTTGTAATATTTTTATAATGTAATCTACTCCCTATTGACCACAGAATTTTAATAAAATGTAATGTGAAATGATCCTAACAATAAAAATAAATGTAGATATTTTACATATTCTAAAAGTATGAAGATTTGTAGCAGTAGTAACATGTTAATGTTACATAATATTAAGACAAAAATATCAAATTAAGTATTTATAATTCAATTATAGCTAAAATCATGAGTAAATTATAATATCTATACTGCATAATTTTAGTGAAACTACTGAGGCAGGACAGTCATATTTTAGTCAATTAATTACTTTAAGAAAAGTTTTTTTAATAAGTAAATGCAACTGACTGAATCATGTATTTTTAAAGGATAATTCTGACATGTTATAACTCATCTTGTCATTAAAAAGCTAAGAGTATTCAGAGAAAATCTTATCTTATTATGAAGCTGCTAGAGGATTATAGGATATTTTAAAATTTAACTTTTATGCAAGGAATACCTTCTGCACAAGAAAAGTGAGTCCAATTTGGTACAATTTAGGTATGAATCCAGAAATCTTGAGTTGTAACTGAAATAGTTTTCTAAGTGGGATCCTATTTCAGGCAAGTAAAATGGATGACACATGAAATTATATATGTATATTTCTTTATTATTTCATGGATGACACATTAAATAAATATATGTACATATTTAGATCTTTTAGAAAATAATTATTTTCCAGAAAGAATTTTTGTCACCAAAAAAATTCAAGCAATGACTAGATCAGAAGTTAGCAAGTTTGTCTGTCAAACTGCACACTGTAAATATGTCAGACTTTGTGGGCCATAAGGTCTCTGTCATAGCTACTCACCTCTGCTGCTGTAGTGAAATCTATTTCCTAGTAACTCTCTGGAACAGAAATAATCTTTACAAATTCTTAGTCCATATAGTTGGGGTGAAGTTGACTCAACTCAATTCCAGAAATTAGTATGTAACTTGGAGCATAACTAATTAGAGTATTCCATTTTCCTGACCACAGAGATTGGCTCAAGGAAGGCCACATGACAAAATAGAGATAACAAAATGCAACTGAATTTTGCAATCATTTATTGACAATAGAGTGTTTGAAAAATAGTGCACCTTCTGGTCAAGATGGCGATATAGGCAGACATGGCTCACCTCTTCGCACAACCACATCAAAATTCCAACTAAAATATAGAACAATTATCACTCAGGAATGCCAGAAACCAAGTTGAACAGAAATCTGGCAACTACAGAATTGAAGAAACCACATCTGTCCAGACTGGTAGGAGGGGCATGGACATGGAACAGGCTGGCCCAACACTAATATGGATACAAATCTGGGAGAGATATCTTGGGAGGGAGGAGTCCCAGACCCACACCCGGACCCCCAGTCCAGGATTCTAGCTCCACGAAGATAAGTGCCCACAACTTCTGGCTGCGAAAACAAGCAGCAATTGAGTCAGTGGAGGAGGCTGCTGGAGCCCTAAGCAGTCCTCTTGGGAAACCCACATACAGACTCACCTGCTCAGACTCTCTCTTTGAGCTCAAACACTGGGGTGGCAGCTTGAAGGGCACCAGTGGTGTACAGGGAAATACTGAAGTATCTCACAACGGTTGAGCAGAGGCATGTGTCCCTTTCCTCAGCCCTCCTCCCACAGAGCTGGTAGACTGGTGCCATATCTGAAACTCCATCAACCTGGCTAACATTGTGTGACACACCTTGGAGATCCCCAGAGACTCCACCCCACCCCCAATTCATGGGCCTCCCAAGCTGCTTTTCCATAAGAATGGCTAGTCTTTGCTCCTAAATCCTATCAAACAAGCAACAGTTAGTTTCAGTGAACCCTAGAGGCAGCCAGATTAGAGTCACAGTTTGACTTCACATGGGAATCTCCAAGTCCAGCATAAGGGGAAGCCATCTCAGATTGTTTTACAGCTCAGGCAGGGTGCCCCAGCAAAATACAGGTGAGGGCTGACCTTGGCCTGCAGTACTCGGGGAACCCCAGGACCAATGTACCCAGTGGACAGCTGCAGATCACATTGGAGCACCCCCAACTAGCCCCTGCACAGCTGATCCTCCACGGAGGGTGGAGGCTGGTGATCAGTGGTCACAGCCAGTCCTTGCTGCTGAATGGCCAGGCTACATCCCTCCCATTGATCTACCAATAGCAACCAAGACTCAACTATAAGAGGAGGGTGTACTCAGCCCACATGAAGGGTACACCTTGAGTACCCAGCTTGGGTGATATGGGAGACAGTGTCACTAGACTCCACAGGACACCAACTACATTAGGCCACACTACCAAGACACAGAGTCAATGAAGCTCTTCCTAATACATAGAAACAAACACAAGGAGACTGCCAAAATGAGGAGACAAAGAAACATGGCCCAAATATAAGAACAGATCACAATCCAGAAAAAGAGCTAAATGAAATCAATATAAGCAATCTATCAGATGCAGAAGTCAAAACACTGGCTATAAGGATATTCAAGGAACTTAGTGAAGACCTCAGAAGCATAAAAAAGACCCAGTCAGAAAAGAAGAATACACTAATTGAAATAAAAAACAGTTTACAGGAAAACAAAAGTACAATGGATGAAGCTGGGAATAAAAATCAATGATTTGGAACATAAGGAACAAAAAACAAAAAAACAAAACAAAACAAAAAAACCCAACCACAGAGAACAAGAAGAAAAACAATAAAAAAAATGAGGATAGTATAAATAGCATCTGGAACAACTTTAACCAATACAGCATTTGTCTCATAGGGGTGCCAGAAGGAGAAGAGAAAGAGCAAGAAACTGGAAATCTATCTTAAAAAATAATGAAAGGAAGCTTCCATAATTTGGTGAAGGAAATAGACTTGCAAGTCCAAGAAGCACACAGAGTCCCAATTATGATGGACGCAAAGAGGCCCGCTCTAAAACACATCATTATTAAAAAGCCAAAGGATAAAGATAAAGAGAGACTCTTAAAAGCAAGAGAAAAAAATAGTTACTAGAAATTAGTGCCAGATGGAAAGGGGAAGGGGAGAATGGGTGAAGAGACAGGGCATTAAGAAGTACAAATAGGTATAGTTACAGAATAGCTATGGGAATATAAATTACAGTGTAGGAAATGGAGTAGTCAAAGAATTTATATGCATGACCAGTGGTCATGAACAATGGTGGGAGCATTGCCCGAGGGTGTAGGGCCCACTGGGTAAAGGGGGGCTAAGAGGGAAAAGTCAGGACAACTGTAATAGCATAATCAATAAAATATAATTAAAAAACAATAAAAAAGAAAAATCATATATGTATTCTCTGATTTAAGCAAACTTATTTTTGAAAATGTCCAGCTATACAATGTAATTAAAAACAAACTAATAAAACAAGGCCCTAATGGTATCAAAATTATCTCACAGGGCATGATGACATAATAAGAAATTTGGGGTAAAAAATGTAATGTGTTATAGAGCAGCATCGACTAGGCAGTAGAAGAACATTAGCTCACTTTAGCAGTACCTAATAGATGGGATGAAGCCAGGAGTTTAGAAACTACAAGTTCAGTTATAAAATTACTTTCAGGGAAAATCTTCACATTTTAGAGAAAAGTAAAGCTGAATTAAAAAGTTGCTGTAGCCCTGACCAATGTAGCTCAGTTGGGTGTCTTCCTGCAAAGTGAAAGGTCACTGGTTTCATCCCTGGTCAGGGCACATGCCTGGATTGCAGGCTGGTCCCCAGTCGGGGCATGTGCAAGAGGCAACGTTTCTCTCACATGTCAATGTTTTTCTCCTTCTCTTTGTACCTCCCTTCCACTCCCTCTAAAAATAAATAAAATGTATTTTTAAAAAGTTGTAATGATTTGGAACAGCTAGCAGAACAAGCAGCATATCATGGAATAAGGCCCCAATCTCTCTCTTCATCATTAATAATATCCAACATGGTTTACTGAGAACTTTATTTTCCCTAAGGAAAAGTCTTATTGTTCCAACATGACTGGTCCACGAAAATATAGGCTTTGACTTTACAGAAATTTGATTTGTTGCCAGCTCTGACAAACGATATAGGATTACCTACAGAAGAATAGGATTACCTACAAAATATTCATCACAAATCAATCATACACTTACCCTGTTATTATGATCACTAACTTTGATGATAGGTTCATTTTTTTCTAAGATCCCATACAGTGGCCTGGCCACTGGGACTGGCTGATGCTAAAATGTGCTGGACTTGTCTGTTCCATGCAATGCAGCTGATATCTTCTGGGGGCTATAAAGAATAAACTATTAAAAACCATTTCTCAATTATAATCAAATTTAACCATAACATCTGATCCTCCTTTTTAAAAAACAGATTACTTAAAAATCTAATCTGTCTACTCCACAAATCTGCTTTACATTCCTAAACTCTCAACATATACAACAATTTCATATTGTCTCATCCACTAGGGATTTATTAAGCTCCTGTTATAAATAAAGCCCTGTTTCTTTATTTTGCAAGTGCCGCAAGGTACATAGGGGACCACAAAGCAGATGTGGGTCCATATAACAACTAGGCAGAGCAAAAGTTATAGCCTAGACAACTAGAAAAATATCATTATAATGGTCAACCACACGCTATCATCATGCCAACCTCAGACTGGCAAATGTTAGGTCCCATTATCATTGTAATGGCTACTCAAATTGAGTAGTCTACACAACACAAAGAAACTCAAAGAGGCAGCAGAAGAACTGCTGTTTCTCAACTTATCAAGAATACATAGTACAGCCCTGAGTGGTGTGGCTAGGTCATTCCTCAAAGCGAAAGGTCGCCAGTTCAGTTCCTGGATGGGGTACATGCCTGGGTTGAGAGTTCAGTCTCCAGTCAGGGTGTGTATAGAAGCCAACCGAATAGTGTTTCTCTCTCTTTCTCCTTCCCTTCCCCTCTCTCTAAAAGTAAATAATAAGTGAAATATTTTAAAAATTATTAAGTATAGGGAATAATGCCTTGGAGCCATCACACCAGAATAAAACAGGTGACTGACCTGGAACCTGAAATTGTCCAGAACTCAATAATCCTGTGGATCTTCTGGACTTCAAGCTAGGGCTGGGTTGCTTTTTTAAAAATAAGTTCCCTGCCCTGGTTATGTGGCTCAGTGGATCAAATGCCAGCCTATGAACCAAAGGGTCCCCAGTTGATTCCCACTCAGGGCACAAGCCTGAGTTGTGAGCCAGGTCCCCAGTACGGGGTGCATGAGAGGCAACCACACACGGATGCTTCTCTCTTCTACCCTTTCCCTCTAAAAATAAATAAATAAAATCTTTTTAAAAATAAAATAAGTTCCCCTGAGAGTCTATTTTTTTTATTCTAAGGTTGGATTGTGTTAAAATACTATATCTAAGAAAATTATTAAAGACAACTATTTTATTCACTATTGTGTGTCTACTACAATGAACAGTCTCCAGCAGATGCACTGAATAAATATTTGCTGTTGAAAGACTCACTGGTATTTTGAAAAAAGACTGATTAATACTCCACTGCCCTGAAGAAAAGTCAATGACATCTAAACATGGATTTTAAACAAATATATTTAGTGTGGGAAAAAAAACCTGAAATACATTAAGGATAGAAGAACTGATTTTGGCTCTTCTGATTACATCAAAATCTGTAATACCTGTGTTTTGGCTCCTGGTGTCATTGGAGTTGCAAAGTTGTTTAGATCCCAAATGTAAATTTCAGACTCATTAGCACCAGAGGCCACCAGATTAGTCTGCAATAAGAGACAATTAATAACTAAATAGCACTTAAAAATTTGAGAGAACTCAGGTTAACTCAGTTCATACCTGGAAGGATCTGTCAGTTTTAGGTCATAATTTTTTTTATTTAAATAAAGAAGCAGAAAGTATGAATTTCTAACTACTATGAATAACTGTAAAATTTAAATAGTTTCTTAGAAAACATATAAAATTCTATTTAACTCAAAAAGATAATGTGTGTATTGACATTTTAATACAAGACATTAAAAAATAATTACATGGCTAAATTCATGCAACCACATGGGAATTATCATTTGTGGTTTTAAATCACTGGAAGGGAATCCGATTGTGGAAAGCAAAAACAGATCATCAATTATTGCTTTCAGGCAAATACTGAATCCTAAAATAATGGCATCTATCTCCGGGGACTGCAAACCCAGCTTCCGGAGCCAGACCAAGGTAGTGCTAGTAAAATCTCTCCTCTTAAATCCCTCACATAATTCTATTTCCTTTATACTCAATCTTGTTGCAGGTGGCAATATTTCTAGGTTTTCTCTGTTGCATACCTTTATGGTCAAAAAGACCCTAAAACTGACATGAAGTACAGCAAGATAATGAGTTTCATGTATTAATCTTCATCCTTTATTGTTCACTGTCATAAATTCTTCTCTAATCAACAGACATATAACTGAAAATAGAGGAATTCTATGGTAATAGGTACCTATAATACAAGACGTTAACCAAAAATCAGCAGCTGTTTGATTCGAGTCACAAAGGAACTAGCTTTCTAATCTGAAGAATAAATACCATGATGGCAGAAACGAAGAATTTTGGGCTTTAAGTTCTATATCTTAAGTATGTACATATAACACTATAAACTAATATAAACTTTATAAACTAATATAAACTTTAAGATAATAGTTATTCTTTTTGCTTGATAGGCTCTAGTAGTCTATTAACTCAAGATCTTTATTAACCTATATATTTATAAAATTAATATTCAGTAATGTTTATGTTTATAACAGTAGACTCTTAATTGTCTACCAATTAAATTTGCACTATAGTTGTGTACATTTCTAATTATGTCATAGAGTAGTGACCTCTTTGTCATAAATACCAAATTTCTCAATTAATAAAACAGTGGATTAACCCAGACATCACAGCATCAACCCAATGCTGCATTATACAAACTTTTAAAAAGCAAGGTTTCTGAACTATGGGGCTCCTAATGTTTAAAAACTACCCAATCAGATGTATAACATCTCCAGACTTCTCTGAATTAAATCAACCAGATCCCTTCCATGGAGTTAGTATCATTTATCCTGAACACATTCTTCAAACACATATACTCGCTCATCAATCTGCTTAGGCACACATTCTTAACTTTTCACTCCAAGACTGAGACATAATAGAGTCATATACTTATTGCAAATATGTAGCCCATATCTCAAGGATTATAAATAAATGTCAAAAATCTAACCTGAAAAATGTTCACATCCAAGGCTCTCACTGGGCCAGTATGCTTGTCATTTTGTGCAATCACAACTTCCTTCTCTCCAGCTATAATTTTAGAAGGATCATAAAGAATAATATTTCCATTTTCACCACCCGCAATCAGAACTCCAGAGATATTTCCTTTGGAATCCATCTTATGAGGCCCCCAAATAAACTTATGTTACCTTTAAGAGAAAATGAGTAAAGCCATTAATCTTGGAAGTCAAATAAATGTAGAATTTAATTTGAAATCATACATTTAATTCTTCACATATTCATAAATACTGCCAAAACACTGCTTCTCCTCTAGTCCTGGTAGCTGTGAATGACTTGGTGAAATGGCACTTTAGATATTATACTCATGTTCATATTTGATTTTGTAACTTAAAAGAGTAAAAATATGCTTTTGTAAGAGGTAATAGACTATGACAAAGTGTACTTGATTTGTGTGTCAAAGATACGGAGTTACAAGTGGTTTCACCATCTAGAAACTGTTAGGCCTGGGCAAGTTAGTTGATCTTTCTAGGCTGCTTTTGGTTTATCTGAAAAATAGAGCTAATCAACCACTTCCCTTGACTCTATTTGACTATGGAAGTGCTCACTAACAAGTGATTTGTTAAATAGTAAATGTGAAGGGAATCACCTAAAATTTTCTAAGAAAGCCCTGGCTGGCATGGCCCAGTTGGTTGAGCACCATCCCACAATGCCAAAAGTTGCCAGTTCAATTCTGGTCAGGGCACATGCCGGACTTCCAGGCCTGGTTTCTGGTTGGGGTGCATGCGAGAGGCAACCAATCAAGGCTTCTCTCACACATCAATGTTTCTGTCCCTCTTTCTCCTTCCCTTCTGCTTTCTTTATTTAAAAAAAAAATATTTTATTTATTTTAGAGAAAGGAGAAGGGAGGGAGAAAGAGTGGGACAGAAACATTGATCAGTAGCCTCTTTTGCATGACTCCAACCAGGGACCTGGCCTGCAACCCAGGCATGTGCCCAGACCTGGAATTGAACCGCAACCTTCTGGTTTTCGGGATGGTGCCCAATCCATTGAGCCACATCAGCCAGGGCAAATAAAATCTTTATATAAATATTAAAAAGTAATTCTACTATATCATGGGGGGGGGAATACTAGAAAATGGATCCTCTCCTTCCTATCCCACACATAACAGTCAACAATTAGAAAATCAATAGACATGAACTCTTCTTTTTTAAAGTATATTTTATTGATTATGCTATTACAGTTGTCCCATTGCCCCCCTCTTTATTCCCCTCCACACTGCACACCCTCTCCCACCCACATCCCGCCCTGTTTAGATTACATCTATGTGTCATAAGTTCTTTAGCTTCTACATTTCCCATACTACCCTTGCCTCCCCCTGTCTATTTTCTACCTACCATCTATGCTATTTATTCCCTGTACCTTTCCCCCTTCTCTACTCTTCCCACTCCCCTGTTGCTAACCCTCCATGTGATCTCCATTTCTGTGCTTCTGTTCCTGTTCTAGTTGTTTGCTTATTTTGTTTTTGTTTTAGGTGTGGTTGTTAATAATTGTGAGTTTGCTGTCATTTTACTATACTTTTTTTTAATCTTCTTTTTCTTATCTTCTTTCTGAGATAAGTCCCTTTAACATTTCATAAAATAAGGACTTGGTGATGATGAACTCCTTTAACTTGACCTTATCTGGGAAGCACTTTATCTGCTCTTCCATTCTAAATGAAAGCTTTGCTAGATAGTGCAATCTTAGATGTAGGTCCTTGCCTTTCATGACTTGGAATACTTCTTTCCAGCCCCTTCTTGCCTGTCAGGTCTCTTTTGAGAAATCAGCTGACAGTCTGATGGGCACTCCTTTGTAGGTTACTGTCTCCTTATCTTCTGCTGATTCTAGGATTCTCTCCTTCATTTTTACCTTGACTGATGTAATTATGGTGTGCCTTGGTGTGTTTCTTCTTGAGTCCAACTTCTTTGGGACTCTCTGAGCTTCCTGGACTTCCTGAAAGTCTATTTTCTTTGCCAGATTGGGGAAGTTCTCCTTTATTATTTGTTCAAATAATGTTTCCATTTGTTGCCCTTCCTCTTCTCCTTTTGGTACCCCTATAATTCGGATATTGGAACGTATAAAGATGTCCTGGAGGTTCCTAAGCCTCTCCTCATTTTCTTGAATTCTTGTTTCTGCATTCTTTTCTGTTTGGTTGTTGTTTTCTTCCTTCTGGTCCACTCCATTGATCTGAATCCCAGTTTTCTTCCCATCACTATTGGTTCCCTATGCATTTTCCTTCATTTCACTTAGTGTAGCCTTTATTTTTTTCATCTAATTTGTGACCAAATTCAACCAATTCTGTGAGCATCCCGATCACCAGTGCTTTGAACTGTGCATCTGATAGATTGGCTACCTCTTGGTCGCTTAAAAATATTGGTTCTGAGGCTTTCATTTGTTCTTCCATTTGAATCATCTTTTTTTTTTTTTGTCTTGTCTCACCTGTTACATATGAGGGGCAGAGCCTTAGGTGTTCAACTGGGCGGGGCAACCCACATAGCTGGGTTGTGAAGCTGTATGTGGGGGCAGGGTTGGAGAGGGAACAATGGCTCTTGCTCTGCTCTCTGTCCCTTCCGCCGCTTCCCCAAAGCAAACTGGGGTCTTCCTGGTGCTAATTCCCATGTGGGTGGGTGTGTGTACCCCGTGGGTCTTTCCAACGACCTCTCCTGTGAGTTTGGGAGTCTCTCCCTGAACTTCAACCCCCCACAGGTGTTTTCAATGAGTGCTCTGAGGCTTCATTTCCCAGCGCTGAGACCTGGGGACCACCTGGTCAGGCAACTGCCTTGCATGCAGTGCCTTTCTTCACAATCGCCACCTCTCTGGGTCTGCTGGTTGCCACCCCTCGGCCAGGGTCTGCCAACCTCTGCTTGCGCACTCAGGGTCAGCCTGCTGCGGTCTTGTGAGCCTGGGATGCCTTAAGCTGGTCCCAAGGCTCTTTCTTCTGTGACCCCTCTCAGCCCAGCTGCCTGACTCCGCCCCTCCTACCAGTCTGGATGAACGTGTCCATTTTAACTCCTTGGTTGTCCAACTTCCATACAGTTCATTTTTATGTCAGTTCTGATTGTTATTCTATTTATAAATTGTTGTCCCTATCTTGGTTGTGTGAGGGGATGCAGTGTCTCTACATATGCCTTCATCTTGGCCAGAAGTTCCCAGACTCTTCTTTACATTCACAGAAATTCACTAATATATTTTTTCACAGAATATTTCATGTCATTGTTGGTAATATTCTTTGCAGTTTCTAAGGATTATATATTTATAGAAAAACTAGGCACAAATCACAACAGTCATTCAAATATAGCCACATGAATTTATGGTTGAATCTCATAACTGAGAAGAGAAAGTGGCACAAGATTTCATATCCAAGGACAGGTCAGAAAGGTCTAATTCAAATATCTCAAGGGAAGCATTAGTACTAAATGTTGCATCCAATTGCTGAGCAGATGTTCCTACAGAAAATACATTTATGGTAACTATGCACACAAAAAATAAGACTCTCAGGAAACCATACAACATAGAAATTAAATGCATGTTTTCAGTGATCTCGCCCATGAGTGCTGTAATAGTGGCTGAAATCACAGCACATATACCACTGAGCAGATGTTCAAATCACTACAGCAATGAGATCCTAACTCAGGGTTCAGAGATGATGTTTATAAGAGGGAAGAGTGCAGATAATTTTTTAAGCCTACAGATCCTTTAAAAGCTCTCTGTAAAAACAGTACCGTGATTTACTCTGCCTCCTTATATTCACAAATGATATAACTCCAAGTCTGTTTATGTAAAAAAGCTAGCATCAAAATTGATCTTCATTCAAACTGATATTTAACAGTTTTGTTTACAAATATCTATTGTGCTTAATACTGGAGGAATAAAGATAAAACACAACTGGTATAAAGTGGGGAAGATACTATAAATGCATTGTGATTAATGCTGTGATGCTGAGGTGCTATGGGAACAGAGAGGAAGGTCACTGAATCCAGCTGACAGCCAGGAGGGAGGTATCTTGCCAGGGAAGAAGAGGCTTTCTAGAGATGAAGCTTGACTTGAAGCTTAAAGAACAGGTGTGAATAAATCAGATGTACTATCTTTGTCGAACTTACCTGTAGCTAGGTAAATGGAATGATTCTGAGCAGGGCTCCATGCCTGCATAGCTGTATGATCTACTTCCTTTAACTTCATCCTGCTAAAGAGAATATTTTACACAGAAATATACTGAACATGTAACATAGAACATAAAAATATACTGGACAAACCATTACATCATTAGTAATGTCCAAACACCAATAAATCCAATTTAGTATCATTTTTTGGGAATGTTCAATATTAGAAAGGAGAGATACTTGGTCAATTATTTTGAGACAAATATAGGGCTATTCTGACATTTACCGAATATAGTCTGTCAGCTAGAAAATCAGTGTGGTAAAAAATTGGCTGCACTATATGCTTCTCAGACAAGCATACGTGGCAATGTACAAAGGGTAAGAGAAGGCACACAAAGCACAAGGTGCATCTTCCTGGAGCAGGATCGTTCAATAGGAGCAGTTTTTAAAATTAATTTTAAATTAAACAGAATAACTACAAAGAAGACTATAATAAGCCCACAGATTTTAAAGATAAAGCAGAAATTTTTAAAGACCTGTTCACTCCAACCTACAATCCCCATACTACTAGTTTATATATTCTCTTATTTAACGTTACTTTGGTAGAAAACTTCAGGAAGTACTGTGCTATTGCTTAAAAAAATATTATTCTATATAAATGCATTCACATAACACAGTATTCCACTGTAAAGATGTACCATAATTTCATTGCTTAGTTCAGTAATGATGAACACCTAAGTTGTTTCTAATCTTTTGCTATATTTGCAAAAAGAAAGACTGAAATAAAGGGCCATTGTACATATTATTGCATTAAGGGGCAAGGATAGCTATAAACTTCCAGAAGTAAAACTGCCAGGTTAAAGGACAAATGAGATTTCAATTCTGATGGATATTGCCAAGTTGCCCTCCATGGTAACTGTACTTTTCCACATTCCCATGAGTAATATAAAAATAGCTGCTGCCCTACAGCCTCACCAGAATATCACTTTTTTTGGGGGGGTCGGGGGGGGATGGACACTTTTTGACTTTTAAAAACAGGACCAATCAGTGAA